CCTGTCACTGAAACTAACTAATGCCTTTATCCACTGTGCCATGTGTCCTTGAAGACATCTGTGTATATATTTCTGGGACCTCTAAACCTAATGTCTTCAGCAACCATTTTTACCAGTGCTCATATTGCAATTTTTGCTGTTATCATTGCATGATTTTCACCAGAGCTCATATTGCAATTTTCATTGTTGTTATTTTGGAACTAGAACAGTCTACCCCAGCGAGCGAAATAAAGGGTTCAGTTCCAACCACCTGAAGAAGGCCGGAGCGTACAATGGCCAAAACATTGTGATAAATATGGCAACAAAGATAAGGATGATAGTCCGAACAATGTAAATAGTGTAAATCACAAAGGGTTGATAAGGTGTAAAAAATAAATCAATCTTTTAAGAAATCTTTTTGCTTTCTGTTATCCAGCTTAGACTTGGGAGTCAATTCACTTTCCCAGAGAACATTCAGAAATATACTTTTAAAAATCAATTAAGAAAGATTTAAAAAGAATAAAGTTAAAAGGTAAAGGAATGTCCTTCTCAATCGCCTGATTCAAACCCGATTGTATGCTTGTCACACAAATAGATAAACAGAAGTTATTGAGTCTAAACAATTTGCAATGATTTTGCATGAAAAAGATGAGTGAAAATAACAATTAAGAGATGCAGAAGACTATCAAAGACATCTATTATTAGTGGTCAGCACCAAAAGAGCCTCTACTAAGTATCAATTGAGGTCAGATCCTTATGCAAACAGTCATTATAATAAAGTACTAAGTACTAATAATTATGGAAATAAAATATTAATTCTCACTTATCAATTCACATCTTTTGTGCCATGTCTCTTCAGGCTGTAGTTGAAGTGTTGATTACTTTTGTAAGTCACAAGTCATCGTGGCTGAGGGCTTGAGTGTGCTGGCCTTGTTCAAACTGTTGATTATGCTAGATAACACTCTTTCCCAGAAACTGTAACTAATGTCTGCTCAGCATAATTGCAGTATAAACCACAGGTGGGTTCTGTGGGTGTTACACAAACACAAATGTCTCTGAGCGAGCACCTGCAATAGGGATTGGCCAGCCACCATAGTAGATGGGTATCATCGAATATGAGTAGCCAGCTATATATATATATATATATATATATATATACACTTTTGTATATAACTGTGTGTACATGTGTATGTAAATTGATTCATTTTTATGGCTTATCGACCCTTTGCTGGTTATTTAAAACCAGAAAATATTTTTAAATGGCAAGAATATATTTTTTTTTGAGATAATAATGGTTTAGTGATACAAATTTTACTAATTAACTCATAGCTGGGGGGGTGAAGAGGTGTATTCATACCATTTCCAATGATGTTTGTGCATAAGTGAATATAATGAACCTAGCGGGAATTGGAACTTGGCTTTCCAATTAAAAATTCTGAGCTATTATCCATTACACCATGCTTATAGCATTTGGCATTCCAAAGTGGTCACCCATCTAGGTACTGACCAGACTCAATGTTGCTTAACTTCAGTGATTGTATGGGAACAAGTTGTGTATGTAAAGTCAGTTTGGAAAGTATCCAGACATTTCAAAAATCTCAAGAAAAGGTCTTCATGCAATTTGTCAATCAATCAGAAGGGAACTTACTGACCATGCAGGAACACTTTCCTGTAGGGTTACTCAGTCAGTAGTCAGCTTTTGTACAATGTCACTTCTGTATTTTGGAAATAACTCACGTAGTCTTGAGAATGACAACCACAGAATAAAACCAAAATTTAACTTCAAAGACATTATTAAAATGTTTTTCCCGTTCATTTTTTTTTTTTTTTAGGAAGTCCGTAGTAGTACCTACTGGCTAAATATCAATCCTTTACAATACATTACAATAAATTTTCTAAACTAACTTTCTGATCCAACTTTTGAAAAACAGTCATAAAATGCTAAATAATGGAACCGTCAAAAATTAAATATTTCAACATTTTTTACGTAAGTTTAAAAAAAAAAATCAACAACAAAATGCAACATTTCGGAATTTGTAATCAACAATAAAATTAATTTTAAAAAGTTGGACTTTAAAATTTTTATCTTTATTTAAAAAGTCATGCATAAACAAAATAAAAAAAATAATAAATAAATTAACAGTTGAAATAAATCCAGAAATGTATCCAAACATTTCAAAAATCTCAAGAACAGTCTTCATGCAACTTGTCAATCAATCAGAAGGGAATTTACTGACCATGCAGGAACACCTTCCCATAGGGTTACTCAGTGAGTAGTCAGCTTTTGTACAATGTCACTTCTGTATTCTTGGGTGCATTTTAGATGGTGGAGTAAAATATTACAGCACATAGGTGAGTCACCTGCCTTTTTAATCTCAATTTGGTTTTCTGACTTCTGGATTTTCCCACAAATTAAATTACCTTTGAAGGGGAAAAGATTAAAAACAAACATGATAAAACAGCTGCTAGTAATCTTTGCAGATTGCTTTGTAAAGTATCATGTAGGATGAAAATGAGTAACTACCAACATCAGAGTTTGAGCATGACACTCTGGACTTATGTTTTCCGCCAGGGGTATAAATAGCAGTGTCAGGATACTGACTAGAGATGATTATTACGTGATTATTGAGTGGAACTATCCAGTTGAATTAATGTGAATTATTGCGCATCCATGATTTTGATTTTGATTTAGAATTTGCCAAACATTAAGCCAAGACACACTATTAACAAGATATTCACTGAAATAGTTAAATTATCTTTGGTTGACTTTTAGTTTTACTTCTTTGTTAAGTATTTATTTGCGGTTGTAATTAAATATTATTTTATTTTAACATTGAAGTCTTGAGTTATACTTAATTATTAATGGCCCCTTATTTCACAAAATAAAGTAAAAAAAAGGGACTCTGAGATAAGTATGTCAGGGAAGTCATAAGGAATAGGACTGCAATCAGCTGTCCTGTTCGATTTTCCTTAATTTCATGCACAGTGTTTCAATGGCAACTTCAACTTTGGAAAAAGACAGTGTAAACATAGACACCTAAATTTGGACTATAAAGATTTGGGTGAGGCAATGTTTTGCCAAAAACAAAAAAAAAAAAAACAAAAAGCAAAAAAAATTACCAAATGATTGAGGAATCAACTTAGTCTTAAGAATGACAACCACAGAATAAAACCAAAATTTAACTTCAAAGACATTATTAAAACGTTTTTCCCGTTCGTTTTTTTTTTTTTTTTTAGGAAGTCCGTAGTAGTACCTACTGGCTAAATACAATAAATTTCCTGAACTAACTTTCTGATCCAACTTTTGAAAAACAGTCATAAAATGCTAAATAATGGAGCCGTCAAAAATTAAATATTTCTTCAACATTTTTTACGTAAGTTTAAAAAAATCAACGACAAAATGCAACATTTCGGAATTTGTAATCAGCAATAAAATTAATTTTAAAAAGTTGGACTTTAGAACTTTTATCTTTATTTAAAAAGTCATGCATAAACAAAATAAAAAAAATAAATAAATTAACAGTTGAAATAAATTGCAATTTTCCGTAAGTAAAAACTAAAATTAAATCTCCGTAAAGTAAAAACACACGAACATAATTTCAATGATATTTGATGTCAATAAGCCGACAGACAGGAACATGTCCTTTTTGACTTCTGGGAACATTTTCCCTTCTCTTAGGAAAAATCACGTCGGATAGGAATAATTCTTGCCCAGTACCTCTTTCTTTAATTACATAGAAACTTTGCAACGTTTGTACAACCATTTTATAATAAAATGGTTGTACAAATAACATTTTTATTGGGTATGTTTCAAATCCAAAGAAGGCTAATTAGAATAAAAAAAAAAAGTTAATTAACATTTGTTAGAAACGCTAATACCCACAATTTCATAAGTGCAGGTACTGATTATTAAATCAATCAAAGATTAATGGGATTTTATTTTGTCTTTTTTTTATGATGCGAAAAATAATTTTCCTTAGTTGACGGATGCAAATTAAGAAAAAAAAATTTAATTTAGATTTTTATTTTTTAGATGTAAAACTAAGAATAAAAAAAAAGCAGTTAAATTAGATGTGCGGTTCCTCCACTAGCAGAGCTAGTAAGTACTACTTACTTACTTACTTACATTTAGTTAGTACTATCGTTTTTCTTTACGTGACATACCATGTGCAGTGCACTGTACAGCGATATATTATCAACAGATAAAAAAACAACAATGTATAGGACATTGCTGTTGTCAGGGTTAATGAACAACAATCCTCAACAAGCAGTACTTCTCTCATGGAGAAGCTTTTGAGGTGTTCTCAAAGCAAATGGGATATGTCAACAAGGGCCTCTTGAGTAATTTTGTCATCGGTCTCATACACAAGATTCCTACCCATATTTCAATGTCATGATCCATGGGCGTGCGTATACTGCTGTAGCTGTCGTCATAATGACATTTATTTTATTTTACAGTGTAGTTGGTGTACTACAGTACACTGGCCTTGGGTCGGATTTTAATTTTTCTTTATCTATCCGTCAGTGAATCGATTATGGTACAAGGTTGTTTTTACTGTGAGAATTTTATACGTGCACGAGATAAACATTTTTTGGAAAACCTCAGACATCAGGGATGGACCCTGGACTCCTCTCCTTTTTAAAGTGTAAATGATGGAAAAGTGTTCTCCCCGGCTATGAATGATCAGAGTTATGTTCCTCCCTTCAAATTCTATTGGAAATAAAACGGCTGACCCTCCAGTAAGTAGCTTAAAAAAAAAAAAAAAAAAAAACTAACTCTAGCCATAGCAGATACTTCTGAAGGACCGCAATTCTTAACTTATATCTTAAAGAAAGTTAAACAAAGATCATGCAAACAAAAGTTTGTTTTTTTTTTGTTTTGCAACCAAAGAAATTTAATGGAATGAGTGAAGCATTATTGATTATTACTATTTTTTTTTTTTTTTTTTTAAGTAGCGTATGCCAAAAATCTGAATCTTTAAAACTTGTTAATTGTTAGTTAATTAATGTTTATTAATTACCTCATCGATGTAATGGGGCACCTCGTTGACATTTTCGAAGCATGACTCGTTCGGGGTTACGAGATAAAACATACGTCGCAACTGCTTGAAGTAAACAATTCCATAATCCCACAAAATAAATTCATCCATTTCTTTCTTTTTCGTTTTTTGCTGTCTTCTCTCCTGGATCGCCTGATAAAAAAATATAGTTATAAAAAATAAAATAATTTCTGTTTTTTAAATGATTTTCTTGACGAGGAATTTTCTAAAATAGTAGTTGGTTGGTTCGTTATTTTTCTTCAGAAAACTTTCTGGTTACACGTTTTTGTCGAGTTATGAGATTCAAATGGGAAAATATTTATTTTAGTTTTATATTTTTAGAGTTTTTTATTCTTCTTTTTGCTTGTCATTTTGTTACAAGTGTGTATTAACCTGTAACTAACTTTATTTAAAATAAACAACAACACTGGATTGGATATAATTATTTATGGAGGTGGGTGCTGAGGAGTTCTCGGTTCAATTCTATTCCAAAAATCAGTATTTCAATGGCCAAAATATTAGAATCGGGGAAAGTGGGCTGAACCAAGAGCCTGCTTACTCCTCGAATTTAAAACGGTGATTGGGTATTATTGTCTTTGACATTCAGAGAGAGAGCGAGAGAGAGAGAGAGAGTGTGTGTGAGAGAGAGAAAGAGTAAGTTAAGTAGAATAATAGCGAAGAAAGAGGGTCCTTGCTCCAAAAGTGATCATTTTTTATAAAAACAATGTTTGGAATTTGTTGACCCCTCCTCCCTATAGGAAGACAATGCTGTACTTTTCATTTGGAAGACTAGTGCAACACGTTTTTTTTTTTTTTTTTTTTTTTTTTTTTACACAGATGTTCACCTTGTACAAGGCCCGAGAGTCACTCGAGGTAGAGTGTTACAGAGTAAGAAGCACAGTTTATGCGGATATGTGGCAAAGATAACGGTTAACGTAACCCTAACCTTTAACAAGTTAAGATTGAAATGAACAGGGAAGCATCCTCTTGGGAGTTGGTTCCAAACACCAGCAGTTTTTGGGAAGAAGATGCTCAAACTTACATTTCACCAATGGAATACAAAAGGAATGAGGGTGGTTCACTACAATGGGCGTAGCATGGTGGGTCTTACCTGTGAGTGTGAAAGTTAGAACTGCAGGAATATAGGTCGTCTGAACACTACTAGTATCATAGCTGTTTGTATCTATTTCTGTTCATATCTATCTGCTTCTCTCAGTCTGCCAATTGATATCGTTGTTTCTCCCCATCTACCTCTGTCTATTTAATAGATATCCTATTTCTAGCTATCAACATTGAGAAGTTATAATAACATGCAGGGCCAGTACAAGTGTCTTGTGCTACACCTCTTCTATGATACAGGACCCTCCCCAATCTATGATATGTACCCACCCACTCTACTATATCTCAATTTTCATAAGACAGTATTCACATAAAATACAAATTTTATTGTAACGATTAATTATGTACAAGAATGGATCATCTTATCTATTATAAAACTCAGATTGTGTGTGTGTGTGTCTGTACGTTTATATATTGGATCGGATTTCCTACATTTTTCAACTGATTTCAACAAAACTTCACAGGACTGCGTAAAATTACCTTGCGGTGGTTCTGACAGTGCAAAAAATTGGAAAAACACAATTGTTTTTGCACAAAATCAATTTAAAAACACAATAAAACACGATTCTGTCGCCAGAATGAAAGGGGGACAACTCATATCGAGTTATACTTATAAAACCCAGGTCGTTTGTGTGTGTGTGTGTGTGTTCCTTTATATATGGGATCGGATTTCCTACATTTTTCAACCGATTTCAACAAAACTTCACTTTTTTTGACAGGTAGTGATTCTTATTGTCTTGCACACTTTTTTCTTTATTTTTACATACAGAATGCTTTAAAGATTCCATTTACAAGACAATTGTTTATAATAAAATTCTATTCAATCGGTAAACTCATAACGATTGAAAACAATGTTTTTGTTTGAGTTTGGGTTTGACCAATTTGTAAAAAAACAAAAAAACAAAAAAAAAACTAATTAAGACATGCGTGTTTGTCAACCTTAAACAATAATCTTTGTCAATTTTATTTTTCAGTCTTGATGATGGTCGATACTTGATCTATCTCTTACTGTTACATCCCCTGGCAACGCTGGGCTCTACTGCTAGTATGCAATATAGGTGAAAAATTCAACTAGAAAAATTGAAAATAAATACAATGTACTAAATACAAATTAGAGACATGTCATGATAGATCATTCCATCTTAAATAAATCAACAATGTTTTGTGGCAATTTTTAACATCAACTTGAGATTTTTCTTGATCAATAGATGAAAATTTTAGCACACTCAATATTATAGACAAAAAATAGTGAATTTTATATAGTGTTTCTTTTAGATTTAGCATGGGCAAAATAAATTCATGGATTTGGTCAAAAAAAGAAGAAACCTCAGAATGACTTCAAAATCCACAAAAGTTTTTAATTGTTGTAGGGAACAAACTGATAACCTTCAGTATACAAAGAACTGATACACCTCCTATTAAATGGACTGTTCCAGTAGTAATATAAGCGTCTATGGTGTTGGTCTCAGGGGGCTTGCTTTCCAGCAAGCATCAAGATGTCAAACTCACTGCTTTTGGGCAGAGAGGAACCCAGATGAGGTTATGCTGAAGGGCAGAGTCTCATCTGGAGAGGTTGACAAACCCAACCCTGTGTATGTGGTGGGGTCTACAGGGAATTTTTTCCTGAGCCTATGGGCTTGGATCACGCCACATAAAAATTGGCCTTGTGCTACATCCTGCCTCGTGGGGAGGTTGGGTAAATATCACTTGCTTTCCAGCTTCAGAAGAACTTGTAAATATTTACTTGTATTGTTCTTGTTTAAAATAAACCCTTATACTTTGTAAGTTGCCGATCTAGTTATTATTTCAATAACTACTTCAGACAGCATTACAAAATCCTTTAACAGTCAGTTGTGCTTAGTTTAATTTGTAATATTCATAAATGTAGGTAAAAAAAAAAGCAAATGTTGATAAGATAGTGAGGTCCCAAATCACCTAGTCGGTGTGGGTGGGTGAGTGGGTGTTTGAGGGTAGTACGCACTGGCCCTGATAACACATAGAAAAAGCAGGATTTGTTTTTTTTTGTGGGGGGAGGATTAGGCAAGCTACTTACATTAAACACAAATTGATAAAATCAAATCAACATTCTTTTTATAGCAAAAGAACTATTAGAGGTGGAAATCAAAAAAACAAAGATTATTTCTACATATAGCATTTATTGTTTTCCTCTCTTTCATGAGAGAGAGCAGAATGGATAAAAAGCTTGCCAAAAAATGATTGATAGTAAGTTTGTGCACAATAATAGAGAGAGAGAGAGAGAGAGAGAATAAATAACCACATTGACTGCTATGAGATAACTGGTCCTTGACCATTATTATTATGTTACCAACTATGAATTATCATGTGCTATCAGCGAGTTTATTCAGTGATTCATTTAATGTGAAAACAATGTTATGACTTTAGTTGAAACTATAAATCAACTTATAAATTTTTTTTTTATCACCTAAGTTGGCTGTTATAAAGTTGACGTTTGAGGTTAGATTTTGTAACTGACTTTTAGCTGACAATGTGTTAAGTAATAGGTAAAGGGCAAATGCTAAAACCAACCTTACCAATACCAAGCCTACCCCCCAAAAAAAAACAAAAAAGAGAGAAGCAAACATCTTCCTAAACAAAAGCCAACAATGCTAAATGTCTATAGAATCAATAAATAGGAAAGTAAGACAGTGTTGTAACAAAAACAACAACCAGGAAGGGCCAGTTGATTGAACCGGGTCTCTCTAACTGCTCATGTAACCCAAGTAAAGGCCAAAGTGATCTGCCCAACTCCTAAAGTCCTCAACCACTAGGATACAGTCATGAGGCATTATGGATCATCATCCATGGCAAACAGGTAGCCTCAATGGGGTGGGTTGTTCCCTTCTAAAAAGATGTAGTCAGCATATTCTACAGACCCAGTTGACAGGGCATTGAAAGATACCTCTCATATTGGTATACTGGAACATACCTATTCTATTGTTAATAGACTCTCCCACCTATAATAAGTAGTAGTAGTAGCAGGCACAGTGAGTTGGTCAGTCAGTCGATGTCGGACATTAAAGTATCAGCCACCACAACTAGATTGCTGCGTCATTATCTATTATATCAAGTTCCTAACGTTTTGTACGTCGAACCTTTTTAGGACCGACTTAGTGAAATACAAGCCTCCACTGTGAAACTACTCTACAACACATATCCAGCAACTTTTTCCTTCATTTCAGTATGCTTCATCTGGTTTACCTATAAAATGCCAAGATACTTATAGACTCTTTCAAAGATTTCATGATTTGTCCATCCAGAAATTATATTCCTTTGGACTCAACTATTTTCTCTCATGATACTTAGGGTGGCATATTTGTCAATGCCGATTGTCACCCCAATACTATCACTGAACATACAACCCATCTTAATGAAAATCTAGAGCATTTTCACTCCTGGCATACATTTTCAAGTTGCCCATAAACAGTAACATTGGCAAATTCACAATAGGTTCAAACACATAACAAAGAGGTGAAAATAATCCCCTTTGAAACATATCTATTTCCAAGTTTACTTGTCCCAGAGATTAATCACCACATGTCAATTTCATTCTCTATGAGGATATACTGTCTTTCAATAATGACTAAATTTGACCTGAAATGTCCAGAATGTTAAGGTACTCTAGAACACGGGAATGTGGCACCATGTGGTAGGTTTTATATGCCATGGATAGATTGTCTTTTTGTACTTTCATCTCCCACAATATGTTGTTATTAATGAATAAGGGGTCATTTGTATTTCTTGAGTTCTTCCTGCACCCTTTTTTTCAGGAAGCAATGATTGAATTTCCAATTATACATAAACCTTCTCTGCTATGAGACATGTCATCAAATTCCAAACTAAAGTTAGACATGTTATTGGTTGATAGTTACCTGCTTGTCACCATTTGGTCTTGTATTTCTGCAACTCTGGAGCACTACCATTATTTACACAGTATTCTTCCTTGGATTTTCATGCATACTTTGTCAGTTATTCAGCTAATATCTCTGTATGTAATCTGGATTAGGGGCTTTACA